AAGACCTATTTGTGAGAGCTGACGTCTCCTCTAATAAAAGCTGTTCAACTGCAGGATGGTGCAAGTCGTGTGGTAACAGACGATGTCTGACTTGCCAACAAATACTGAATACTCAAACATTTACTTGCCACTCCACTGGGTCTGTGTACACTATATTTTGCAATGTAACTTGCAAAACCCAGAATGTTGTATACCTTCTTCAGTGTCGATGTGGCATGCAGTATGTTGGCGAGACAGAATAGCCATTCAACAAACGCATGAATGGGCATCGAAGCGACTACACCTGCAAGCCCGACCTCCCCGTAAGTCGTCATTTGAGATCACCTGGGCACGCCCAAGCTGATCTCAAAAACCTTACCATCACAATCATAGACCACAACGAGGTTTGGTCAAGGGCCGACAGACTTGCTCGGGAAAGGTTTTGGATAAGAAAGCTAAGGACAGTTTCCCCAGAGGGCATAAATGAAAAAACATAGAATGAGTCACTCATTTTCCCTACCATCACTCTTTTCCTATCATCACTTGTTTCCAGTAACTTAGGCTTCCGTACTGGACTCTGACTTACTTGACTTAAACCACTTCGTCCCAAGGGGGACATAGGGCGACTACAGTTTCTCTCCATTTCTTCATGTCCATGGCTGTTCGTTTTGTTTCTTTCCAGGTCTTCCCAATTTTACTCAGCTCTGTTATTAGTCCCCTGCGCCAGGTGTTTTTTGGCCTCCCCTTTTTCGATGTCCTTGGGGGTTCCATTCTAGGGCTTGCTTGGTGATATTTGTGTCTTTTTTTCTGGAGTATGCCCGATCCACTTCCACTTTCTCGTACAGTTTTAATGAATATTTTTATTATACCAGTTTAAAATACAGTGTTCCTTTCATTTGGGAGAGATGTACAAGTACGCAGTCACGTTCAAAAATGTAACCTTAGTCAAAATTTACTATTATTTTTTTCTAATCATTATCAAACTGCTATTTGTTTGGGATGTTAAAATACGCAGCCTCTGTTATAAATACTCTACCGTTGTCAAATTGGAAATATTATTCCAGCTTAGATCGGTCAGTGCTGTTTATTGGGAATGTATTTCCACTCAATCGTTGTTGTAACATCGTAACTGTCGTCACCTTTTAAATTTTAGAATTGTACCAGTTCATATCGCACATAACTGTGTTTATTTAAAGCATATCTTAAAGTTTGCAGACTCTGTTGTCAATAGCTATATAACTTACGTCATGTTTACCAAAAAAATTAGAATTGTACAAGCGTCTCTATGATGTTCGGGTTTAACTGTTTTATTGTAAAAATTTCAAGATTGTTATAGTTTTATAATGAGAATAGATTCATTTTACATCATATTCATACTGATGAAGGATATCTGTTATCCGAAATATTTCACATTTGTTCATTTTATTGTTATTGTTTGGTGATGTTGTACCCTTTTAGACTTAATATATTATATTTTGTAGTGTACTGTATCATAACTATATGATCCATCGCCCCGTAAGATTTATCGTTGACTATTATTCAGTCATTTTATATATATATAAACTTGCGGAAAAGATGATATACCGCAAACAAAAGGTGCAAAGGTTTTTGTACACCATATCCGGATTTCGACAATTAATGTCTCTTCAGTGATGTTAGGAATCGAAACGGTATTTGGAAAGCCATACAATTTACCTCAATTTAGGATAGACTCTTAAATTCTGAGGAGTCAAAATAGGATGAACAGATCATATAAACCCGAAGGCAAATATAATACAAGCCCAAACGAAAAAATATAAACAAGTCTAAATTGAAAACAACGTTCAAACCTATGATTGCGTTGGATAAAAACCGCAATTTTTATACGTGTGCATGCAAAACAAATTTCTTGTTAGAGGGTTCTAAATACAGCACAAACAACAATTTCCAAAAGACCAAAAAAGTGAAAAAGTATATTTTAAGAAAAACGCATTTGACTAACAGGTCGAACAACAAATGTTCTTAAACCCTGCTGACTGCCATTGGCGATTGCCAAATAAACAGATCACCGATGTAATAAATGGATCTTAATTATAAATTTAATACTAAACAGAAAACAATAAACTTGCGGAAAAGATGATATACCGCAAACAAAAGGTGTAAAGGTTTTTGTACACCATATCCGGATTTCGACAATTAATGTCTCTTCAGTGATGTTAGGAATCGAAACGGTATTTGGAAAGCCATACAATTTACCTCAATTTAGGATAGACTCTTGAATTTTGAGGAGTCAAAATAGGATGAACGGATCATTTAAACCCGAAGGCAAATATAATACAAGCCAAAACGAAAAAATATAAACAAGTCTAAATTGAAAACAACGTTCAAACCTATGATTGCGTTGGATAAAAACCGCAATTTTTATACGTGTGCATGCAAAACAAATTTCTTGTTAGAGGGGTCTAAATACAGCACAAACAACAATTTCCAAAAGACCAAAAAAGTGAAAAAGTATATTTTAACAAAACGCATTTGACTAACAGGTCGAACAACAAATGTTCTTAAACCCTGTTGACTGCCATTGGCGATTTCCAAATAAACGGACCACCGATGTAATAAATGGATCTTAATTATAAATTTAATACTAAACAGAAATTAATAAACTTTCGGAAAAGATGATATACCGCAAACAGAAGGTGCAAAGGTTTTTGTACACCATATCCGGATTTCGACAATTAATGTCTCTTCAGTGATGTTAGGAATCGAAACGGTATTTGGAAAGCCATACAATTTACCTCAATTTAGGATAGACTCTTAAATTCTGAGGAGTCAAAATAGGATGAACAGATCATATAAACCCGAAGGCAATTTATAATGCAAGCCCAAACGAAAAAATATAAACAAGTCTAAATTGAAAACAACGTTCAAACCTATGATTGCGTTGGATAAAAACCGCAATTTTTATACGTATGCATGCAAAACAAATTTCTTGTTAGAGGGGTCTACATACAGCACAAACAACAATTTCCAAAAGACCAAAAAAGTGAAAAAGTATATTTTAACAAAACGCATTTGACTAACAGGTCGAACAACAAATGTTCTTAAACCCTGCTGACTGCCATTGGCAATTGCCAAATAAACGGATCACCGATGTAATAAATGGATCTTAATTATAAATTTAATATATATATATATATAATATATAAGTACGTCTGAACCAGTGACAACTCTACAACAGATTTATCCATCGGATCACCAGCAGTGATGGTGATACATGGCTGTGTACATTCAGTATATACAACTCGTCTCAACATCAGCCCAACAATGTTAGACCTGTAAATTTGCTTTCACAGATCTAACATTGTTAGGCTGATGTTTAGACGAGTTATATATATATATATATATATATATATTTATATATAAGTACGTCTGAACCAGTGACAACTCTACAACAGATTAATCCATCGGATCACCAGCAGTATGGTAATACATGGCTGTGTACATTCTTTATATACAACTCGTCTAAACATCAGCCCAACAATGTTAGATCTGTAAATTTGCTTTCGCAAATTTTTTTGTTCTTCCTTCGCCGGGATTCGAACTCATGCTACTGAGATATCGTGACGCCAAATCGCCTGCACTGTATCCGACGCGCTAGACCACACGACCACCTAGGGTTCACAATAATAAAGCTTTCGGTGGCCGGGTGTTACCTTTCCTCGTCAGTTTTAATCTAGCGTCGTAATACAGTACATGATATATATATATATATATATATATATATATATATATATATATATATATATATATATATAATCGACCTCATTACACTAAATGCTGATGGCATCATTGCTTCATACTGTAATAATATCCTATATTGCTCATATTTTACTTTATTTCTTTGTGTATTGTGTATTTTCACTAAAAACTTGCACTTTTTATAATAATTATTGTACTATGATGTTTATGTATCTTGCCTGGCAAGGGCCCATGATTGGTAAATAAAATAATTTCTACTCACTAAAGTCTATTGTCTTTTTCTGGTTTGATTGCCAAAACCTGAACTTTTTGCTGATAAATGATAACACTTCTATGTAAGTAATGAAAAAGTAAGATGCATGTATGCAATAAACACAATCTACAAATAACCCCATTCATAAAAAATGAAATAAAATTTAACAAACACATTTGCCACTTTTGTCTTCTTTGAATAAAAATTTGTATGCACAAAAGATGCGGGTTTACTTTTGTATTGCTTTGGTTAAACTTGACAGTCAGTATGATAACAAGAAAAGTGTTGCGTTAAAAGAAAAGTGACACCGCGATATAGAAGCATCAATTGAAGATAAGCTAATGTTAAACGCAACATATTTGATAAATGCTTTGATAATTTAGTAATGCCTCATACGTTTTATATCTGTATCGCTATATTCTGCATACATCGATCACGCTCTCTTAGCTGATACCACTGGACGTTAAGCAACAATCAATCAATCAATCAATATTGGCTGATAAAATCGAATTCATGTGGCATCATAGTTACTTCATTGGGACTTAAAGCGGACTTTTACCGGATATACCTTTCCATTTGAACCTCACCTCACTTGTCGCACACACACACACTACCTAGCAGCTTTACAGGTGTTCCTTAAACATAAAAAATGTGTAAAAAAACCAGACTGAAGGTGGGAGTTCCTTCTATATGTTAATAAACAGTATTGTAAGTTAATTACCAATGCTATTGGGATTGTTCGAAAACAACTTGTCAACTGTCAACATAAGATTTTATCTTTCCATTGAATGTAAGACTTCTTACAAATGATTTAAAAAGAAAAAATAGGAAATGAAAACGTGCGTCCTTTTAATATTAGATTAAAACGTCTTCCTAGTACACATAACTTATTGTTAGGAATTGGTCGGGTATATCAAATTCTGCGAAAATATAAATATATATGTACGAACAGTTAATGTTTATAAAAATAAATCATGGGTAAGAATTCAAAATTAGATTTTAAGAAAAACCTTACATGGTTATAGGAATTATAAATATAAGAAATAAGTTAGATCTTGTAAAGTAACCTAGTTATATAAGAAGTACAGGGGAATACGAACAAGACAAGAAAGGACATACATGTTTTGATAGTGATAAATTCCGAAACTACATTTTATTTTTCACATTAAAAATACTAAAGGTCAGAAGCTAACGGTGAGTACAATTATTACTTTTATACAAATGTAAATATGTACTGTAAAAATTCAGTACTTGTTATATAATTATATTCTATAATCATTTTTTTTTGCTTTACTACGATAGAAGAGGTACAATGATTCTGTGAAATACATTGAAATTCAAATAAATACAATTCAAAGTATAAAAATAATATATATATATATATAAACAAGTCTAAATTGAAAAGAACGTTCAAACCTATAATTGCGTTGGATAAAGGTCGAACAACTGATGTTCTTAAACCCTGCTGACTGCCATTGGCGATTGCCAAATAAACGGATCACAAGATGTAACAAAACAGATCGTATTATTACTAAACAGAAAACAATAAACTTGCGGAAAAGATGGTATACCGCAAACATTTGTACACCATATCCGGATTTCGACAATTAATGTCTCTTCAGTGATGTTAGGAATCGAAACGGTATTTGGAAGGCCATATAATTTACCTCAATTTAGGATAGACTCTTGAATTTTGAAAGAGTCAAAATAGGATGAACGGATCATATAAACAGGAAGGCAAATATAATAAAGCCCAAACGAAAAAATATTAACAAGTTTAAATTGAAAAGAACGTATATATATGGTGTGATTGCCTATGAGACAACTCTCCACCAGAGACAAAATGACATAGTTGTTTACAACAATAGTAAACAACTAGTAACCGTATGGCCTTCGACAATGAGCAAAACCCATACCGCATAGTCAGCCTTAAAAGGCCCCGAAAAAACTACTTTAAGTGTTCAACATGCTATTGTACATACGCTATAATCGTATATGAAAGGAATTGTAGGTAAAGTCTTGCTACCGCATGAAAGACAATTCCAATAGATAAAAGGAGACGTGGGTAATACGGCAATGAGACAGCAATCTAACAAGATAATTACTTGAACATGAACACATTATCAACAACATATATGTAAAGGAGAGGCGATAGATACCAAAGGGATATATAAACTCATAAAACAAACTGACTACGCCATGGCAAATACGAAAAATGACCAAAAGATAAACAGTATACAAAACACAACATAGAAATACTAAAGACTGAGGTGTTACTTCTTCTCACCACTTCTAATGGACTGTTGTTAACACAACATAGAAATACTTAAGACTGAGGTGTTACTTCTTCTCACCACTTCTAATGGACTGTTGTTAACACAACATAGAAATACTAAAGACTGAGGTGTTACTTCTTCTCACCACTTCTAATGGACTGTTGTTAACACAACATAGAAATACTAAAGACTGAGGTGTTACTTCTTCTCACCACTTCTAATGGACTGTTGTTAACACAACATAGAAATACTAAAGACTTAGGTGTTACTTCTTCTCACCACTTCTAATGGACTGTTATTAACACAACATAGAAATACTGAAGACTGAGGTGTTACTTCTTCTCACCACTTCTAATGGACTGTTGTTAACACAACATAGAAATACTAAAGACTGAGGTGTTACTTCTTCTCACCACTTCTAATGGACTGTTGTTAACAAAGAAACTCAATACTGAACGTATTGTGTGTACTTATGCAGCTCAAACTGTCAAAATATTATAACGTACAGATACTGATAATTGTATTCACCAATTAAGGTGCCCTTTTAAGTAATTATTCATAACATCAATAAATACGATGCACAAGTATTTCTGTTGCAAAATACCTATATATATTTGATGAAATAAATTAAATATCTTTAGGATGGTATACTAGTAATTTAGGCCAAGAGTTTTAAATATTTTTATATAATAACAACCTGCATTCCAGACTGAGCAAATGAAGCGAACCTTCCACATTTAGAAATGTATACTGCTATTATATTGTATTTCGAATTCTACATATATATATATTGTTAGAAAGACGTTTTTGTTTTGTTTGTTTCTATTGTTAGTTAAGTCTAATATACTTGGAAATTTAAATTATAAATAGATATTGGTATTCACCTTAGTAATTTATCTATTTTTAGATATTTGAATAACAATTTCGGGGGTTTTACTTAACATTTAAATGAATAATATGCACTACAAACCGACCAAACCTTTAAAGAGAACACTACAAAGAGTATAAAGATATATATACTGCAACACTTATAAAAACATGGAATTTCTTAAGCATGTTAAGGATGGTTACATTTTTTTTTATATATTACTTATAACAGGTACAAGACAAGATTTTTATTTTTAATATATGTATATATACAGAATAGTGTATTCAGTATATATTCAGTATCTAAACATATATTAAAAAAAATCTCGTCTTGTAGCTATGTGCCGAATGTATGAAGTCAAAGAATGTTGTCACTTCTCTCAATGATAAGGTTATATTACTTGACATTACATTAAATCATTGTAACTTGTTAATATTTTACAGCTCATTAATAGTTTTGAATAAACAGCTACATCAAAATATACAAAGGAACAAGAAAGAAACCAGCTAAAACGGAATCGAAGTGCGTATTAAACTTTACAGATTGCATGAAACAAACATGTGGAAACTGCTTCAAATACTTTGGGATGTTACTCGCCTTCGTAATCTTTGTTGGGCTCATAGTATTCCTGGCTAGGATAATGCCAAGTGGCGATAAAGTAACATTGCGGCATCAATCAAATAACACTCCATCAACTCGTCGGCCACAACTACTATATAAACCTTATATAGGGAAGCCACCAGTGTGTCGTATGAGTTGGGTGAGCTGGTTTAACGTGAATGTCACTGAATTTGTTTCTTATGATCACAAGACAAACAGATTTACCGTACAAGAAAGCAACATTTTATCACTTCGATTATCACTTAAAATTGATGGGGAAAATGTGAGGAAAGACACGATTAACGTTGTGTGTATTGAATATAGTGACGAGACACAGAAATGTAAGGCGACACTTTTCAAAAAGGGGGAACATGGGGTACTATATATCAAAGACAAAATATTCGCACTCCCTGGATTCACATTTACTATAACAGTTCTACATACCACTATACTTAAAAGACATAGTAAACACAATAGCTTGATAATAGCCAAGTCATTTACTAGTGGCCCGGAATAACCGTATTATTACGCATAGCACCATTCTACCTCAATCGTATTTACAATGCTCATTTCATATGATATACGACTTCCGTTAAAGATCTAAAGAAGCCAAATGAAGAAAATCAAAGTTTAAAAGGAGAACAATTGTGCAAGTGGCGACATCAGTCCAGTTATATCAAAATGTACGCACCTGCTAATGAAAATAGACACACTAGGATATGTGAATGAAATGATTTGATATGCAATAACGAAAAAACGAAAAATAAATGTACTATATGTTTTCAGAGCTATCAGAGAAGTAAAGTTTTACTCCCATGTATGTCTTGACGTTTGTACTGTATTGCTGATTTCACAATGATTTCATGTTCCCCTTATTATTTACCATGATTTAAGGATGTTCGCTCCTCTTGTTTTTGAATTTTTGCCAGATATTCGGAATCCTCTGGTTTTATCCATGTAGTGCCATTAAGATAAATTCCCCACTAACCCCTACTTTTCCTTTCATAATTTTATTACATATAGTTTACAAAGCCATCTTTGAAAATGCTATAAAATCCTTGTTATTTTTCATAATTTTTGGAAGAAAAAGGGTGCCAATGTTATATGTATGAAAAGTCTAGAGAGAATTATTTCCGCCAAATTTTTAATAACTTATATCTCGAAAACAAGCACACGGACCCTTAATTTTTTCCTGCTTTTTTAGTTCCATTATTTATATACTATCAGTTTATAACAGTCTTTAAAAAGCTTTATATTTTGAAACAGAGTAGCGAACATCCTTAACGTCCAATATGTGTTCAATAAATGTATGTATTCTAGACTTATACTCTTTTTACTACTGATGAACAAGACTGAAAAAATAAAAATAATAAAAGCGTAAAGCATGTTCATATTCAGTTATTTCAAACAATTCACTAAACAATAAACAACGGATGTAAATAGCGGTAATCATAATAGATATACATGTTACACACATTATCAAAAGTAATGGTATATTAAAGATATATAGATGTAGATGATTGATTGTTTAACGCCACTTTCAACGCTATTGGATTTATCGTTTAGGCCAGTTTAAGATCGGAGTCGAAGGCACCTGCCACGTGTGGGTATCAAACTCACAACCCCAGTGCTGACAGGTTAGTTATACTGTAAAAAAACAACATAGACCACTCGGCCAGCAAGGCCCTGAACCATATAGACCGTTTTTTTTGTTTCAAACGTGCGAGTTATAGATGCTTCCGGCGACATATGTTAGTATCTGACATATGTATAATACATTTGTAATAGGCGAGAAAACAAAATACATCTATATAAGTTATCTCTTTGAAGAGATTTTCTGTGATAACCGGAAGAGATTTTCTGCGATAACCGGAAGAGATTTTCTGCGACAACCGGAAGAGATTTTCTGCGATAACAGGAAGAGATTTTCTGTAATAACCGGAAGAGATTTTCTGTGATAACCGAAAGAGATTTTCTGTGATAACCGGAAGAAATTCAAATTAAATTGACACATGTTTCAATTCCCTTTACACATGCATTATGTCTGAGGAATTGTTATTTAATTACTGTCTGGAAGTTTCGTACAACTTTATGATATGAACCAATTTTGAAAAATTGATGTTATTATACCCCCGCTTTAAAAAAAAGTGGGGGTTTACTGTTTAACCTCTGTCTGTCCGTTTGTCCGTCCGTCCATCCGTCCGTCCGTTCAATGAATATTTTTCGTCGCATCTTTCTCAGTAACTACATCATAAGGATCTCTGAAATTTGGTTTCAGGGTTTATTTAAATCAGCTATACTGTGTACTGCGTTTTCAGATTCATCACTCAACAACTTCCTGTTAACCGAACACTTACATCATTGTACACATGACATCCAAGTTGAAAATTTTCGTCATGTTTTTCTCAGGAACTACATTACAAGGATTTTTGATATTTTGTTTCAGGGTTTGTATGAGTCAGCTATACCGTGTGATGCGATTTCAGATTCATCACTTAACAATGTCTATACCTAAAAAACATTGTGGTTTAAATATTCCAAATGCATATTTGGGCGGGGGTATCATCATTGAGCAGTAGCTCGCAGTTTCACTTGTTTATCTAAAATTGATTGTATCTCCTTAATCGACTTCGTCAAGAACATTAATGAAATATTTGCCACTGGCCGAAAAAGTAAAAATCAAGAAACCCTTAATCGAAAACATTTCATTATCGTTTTCAAATGCCACAGCTTAAGATTTGAATAACTTAATATAAATAATAGCCTCAGAATCTCTTATCGGTTTAAAGAGAACATACAACCTTAACATACAGAGATCTGAATTTTCTCCTTCTGCGCTCAGGATGAAATTAAAGAAGGCAATTAAAAATCATAATCGAAGAAAGACACAAAACTAGGAGGTCAAACGAACAAAAAAAACCACATATAAATATTTAGCTGAAAGAATCACTTGCAAATGTCACGGGGCTTTACTCTGTGTGTATTTTGTAACTAGTCATTTTTCGGATCTATGTATCCGGGATCGATTACTCCATATTTTCTCCATTACCTTACTACTGTCTATAACTAAATCTATTTAATGTTCACATGTTTAATAGAAAATGAAAGGATATGGAGTAAATGTACATGGGACAAAATCGCACACAATACATACAAAACATAGAAAATTATCAATGAACAGGGCTTTTATTCCTGTTCTTCATCTTGACAGTTGATGTAGGGTCTTCAACAATGAACGAATCATTCATACCCTACAACAAGGTCAAGACGGCCCTTAGCGTCGACTTAAGCGGTACTATTGATAAAAATAAACCACAGTTCACCTTCTTGCTCCCCACCCGCCTCGGAGTGCCAACTTGTGCGATGCTTGTGTACGACGGTTCTCCCGTCGAAAGCACAAGGGATACAAGAAAAGTGCAGTAATTTTGAAAGACATCGATCGCCGCTAAAATATGCCTTGAAGTTACACATGTTGGGAGCGGTCAATGAATTACATAATTTATAATTACGGGCGAGGTTTTTCAACATATATTTGTCATAGATTGCCCAACAAAAGACCAATAATTTCGAAATAACAAATGATAGACAATACATATAAAACTAAAAAACAAATGATAAACAGAACGGAGCACATCGAAATAAATGTAAGAAAACCTAGCAGTTTAAAATAGTATGAAAAGGCAATATACAAAACAGATGACCAGACCAGTATTTTGAAGAAATTTAACCAAACATGAAATTTTGACATGAACAAGCACACCATAACTGTAAATATTATAAGAGCATACATCTCAAGCACGGGGAAACGTTCTACTGCCTCCACACAGCACTAGAGACAAACTCTAGAATCAATAGAAAATGAAAGGATATGGAGTAAATGTACATGGGAAAAAATCGCACACAATACATAGAAAACATAGAAAATTATCAATGAACAGGGCTTTTATTCCTGTTTTTCATCTTGACAGTTGATGTAGGGTCTTCAACAATGAACAAATCATTCATACCCTACAACAAGGTCAAGACGGCCCCTAGCGTCGACTTATGCGGTACTATTGATAAAAATAAACTACAGTTCACCTTCTTGCTCCCCACCCGCCTCGGAGTGCCAACTTGCGCGATGCTTGTGTACGACGGTTCTCCCATCGAAAGCACAAGGGATACAAGAAAAGTGCAGTAATTTTGAAAGACATCGATCGCCGCTTAAATATGCCTTGAAGTTACACATGTCGGGAGCGGTCAATGAATTAATGTTTATTGATCTTCATATAACAGTACATGTGTAATATATATAAAAGTTCACAATTATAACTTCCAATTAATATTCGTGCATACAACTTGTTACTTTAAACTCATATATAAAACTACTTGTTACTTCAATCTCATCACCAATATAAAGTTTCTTACAAGATCGTGCCATTAACATCTGTTCTTAATTTAGGCTAAACATTGCTTTATAGTCTTAGAATATTTTGATAAACTTATCAATGCTATTGCAACTTTACTGTGCATCCCATGTACCGTATAAACTGTCACATTAATGAAGATGCAAGATCATTTAACTGATAAAGTATTGACCATCAACTCTTTGATGTAATTGACCAAGCCACACATAGATAGTTATTTAATATACAATCATATCACATCTCTATTTTTCTATACATGTATGTACTAAAAATCAGATTATTTTATAAGGAGAAACTCTGCACTTGTTCCAAAGCTCCCTGTTGCACATCTATAGGTATGTGTCACATTTGTTTTTCTCTTCTTGTCTTGGTAATAAAAGGGGAGTCTATACAGCTTCATGGGAGATAATTATCATCGCAATACTGTTTTAAGCATAAATCTGACCGTTGGTTTTTCTCTTTTGAATTTTTTCACATTTTTCCATGCCGGATCTTTATTTGACTTACATAATGATATGGTTTTGCTCATTGTGGAAGGACTACGGTGACCTATAAGTGCTTTCAACTCCGTCCTTTAGTTTCTGATGGATTGTTGTCTCATTGGAAACTATGCCACATCTCATCCTTTGTATACCAGTTTGCATAATTGATATTTACAACTAGTACTATTCTGACTCATTGCCAGTGGGAGAGTGTATGATATAATTTTACAAATTAAAAGACATTTCTAATCTATTGATTTATGTGTCAAATCGGCATTTCATTTGGTTCAATGACAATTATGTCGCTGTTTTGTTTATTTCATAGAAGATTATAGATTTACAAATGTTTCGGGTCAAAGAAAGACAATTCGGTTATTTTAAGAACTGAAAGGGTATGAGATTCACTATAGAAGTCTTTTAGAAAAAGAAAAAATTGAAAAAAAACCAATTTCAAATGGCCACAGCTTAAGAACTAACGAAAATAATGATGAGGGTTCTTCAGTAACTATTGTAAGACTATAATGGGATGATTTTGTTTTTGAATAGGTGGTGGTGGTGGGGGGTTGCTATTTTTTGTGGAGGGATAGGTGGGGGAGAGTAATTTTTACTTGATATGTTCCATTTTCAGAATTAGTTAGTGATCCTTCATTATACCTTCTATTTCAGCATACCTATATGGGGTGAATGTCCCCCCTCCCCAGACCTGTCGGGTAAGTCGTATCTGAGGAACCCCTGCAGAAATTGTTTTGAAGGTTGTTCCAAAAACACATTTGAAGGCATTTCCAGCATGATACAGGTTATGTGGGTACACATTTTAGGGGGCGGGAAATTTAATTATTGTTCTTTTGGGAGACTTTCGTAACGTTATACTGTTACAATGATATATTTGGTCTTTTTAAGATCTGCATGACTTGTCTATAAAAATGCATCAACAATGTTTACAATTCATAATTACTCACTACATTGGTTTGCATATTAATTTGTAACTATAAAGTCGCTATTTTACATAGTATGTTTTAAATTTCCATTTCTATAGATAATAGCTCGTGCGTTTATAATGCCAATAGAAGTTCATATCATGTGACGAGATTATCACATTAGTGTAAAACATATAAAAATAGGAAGATGTGGAGATAACTCTCCACCAGAGACCAAAATGACGTAGAAGTTAACAACTATAGATCACAATACGGCCATTATGTGAACGTTTAATATTCAAAGAAGCGTAAAGAAAAAAATCCGTTCATATTTTATTCAGGAGCCTGTAATTCAGTTGTTGTCGTTGGTTTATGTCTGTCATATTTGGTTTTCGTAATTTTTTTATATGAATTAGGCCGTTAGTTTTCTTGTTTGAATTGATTAAAATTTTTAAAGCTGACTATGATACGGTATGAGATTTTCTCATTGTTGAAGGTCGTATGGTTTCCTATTGTCGCTTATACATACTCTGGTGGGTAGTTGTCTCATCGACAATCATACCACAATTATAACATTATTCAAAATATCTTTTTTTTTCAAATTCTAAGAGCACCACATGAAAAAATAATATTCAATAATCATGAGAAATGAATACGTCTTGTCTATTGGAAATAAAAACAATGAGACAATATGTTTATTTTTTTATTTCTTGTAAAGCTCCGGAAGATGGATACAAATCAGCAATACAAATACTAAAACACATTTACAAAATGTACCATAACTGCAAAGTATCATAATGTTTAGTTTGTTACTACTTTATAAATAAATAAGAACATCAGAATTAATTAATCAAGAGTTCATTGAAAAAAATCAAATCACATGCAGCTGAACATGAACTATCTGTGTGACTAGTGTTTGTTATAGTAATCTATAATAAATGTATAGTTTTTGCATGATTCTCTATTCGTCTTTTTGTGTTAATTTTATTCCACACCGAACCGTTAGGTGCCTTTAAGATCACTTGATGGTGTCTACAAAACAAAACAAAAAGCAATAAGGAGGTGGGTAGGTCTGTAACAGAAAATTACACAATCTTATTCAACACTCTAATTGTTTGTTGTATATATACACAATAGACTGGATACAATGTACGTGTCTTTTTACGACCAATGAAATTAAAATTTGAAATAACAGTTTGTTGTTGATGACAAATATATATATTATTGCCTGTTAAATTTCTATCCCGAAATTTCTATTTATTCATATGTTATCACTAATACTTATTATAAATGGTTTTATTAAATTTCGTAGACATTTGACAACTTATTTTTAACGTTTGGAGGACGTGTTTTTCAACAGACTGTCGGAATTCAAATGGGAACCAATTGTGCCCCTCTTCTTGCCGACTTGTTTCTTTATTATTATGAGGCTGACTTCATACAGGAACTTCTTAGGAAGAAAGATAAGAAGTTAGCAATATCCTTTAACTTTACGTTCTGCTATATAGATGATGTTCTCTCTCTAAATAACACAAAATTTGGAGACTATGTTGAACGAATCTATCCAATCGAACTAGAGATAAAGGATACTACAGATACAGTTAAGTCTGCCTCATATCGAGACTTACATCTAGAAATTGACAATGAGGGTCGGTTGAAAACAAAACTTTACGACAAAAGAGATGATTTCAGCTTCCCATTTTGTGAACTTTCCATTTCGATGTAGCAACATTCCAGCAGCGCCTGCATACGGAGTATATATCTCCCAATTGATACGATATTCCCGGGCTTGTATTTCCTATCATGATTCCTTGATAGAGGATTGCTGCTCACAAGGAAGCTATTAAACCAAGAGTTCCAAATGGTGAAGTTGAAATCATCCCTTCGTAAATTTTACGGACGCCATCACGAGTTGGTTGACCGTTATGGAATAACCGTTTCACAGATGATATCGGATATGTTCCTTAAGTCGTAGCTACAATACCCTTCCCCTTTCACGAATGTGACCTACCGAATTAGACTATTTACCGGATTTGTAATAACATAAGCAACACGACGGGTGCCACATGTGGAGCAGGATCTGCTTACCCTTCCGGAGCACCTGAGATCACCCCCAGTTTTTGGTGGGGTTCGTGTTGCCTTGTCTTTAGTTTTCTATGTTGTTTCATCTGTACTATTATTTGTCTGTTTGTCTTTTTATTTTTGGCCATGGCGTTGTCAGTTTGTTTTCGATCTATGAGTTTGAATGTCCCTCTGGTATCTTTCGTCCCTCTTTGGTATAGTACGTATATAACAAACTGCTTGAGCTCAAAATGGTCGAATTATATCGTAACATAAACATCCTAGGCGTATTGTCTACTTGTTTACTGCAATGTTTCCACATGGAACTAACTTCAGAGCTAGTATAGCACATGATGTCATGATCATGGTTATTTTTATATTGACGTATAATGTTATGTAAAAGTTTGAAACAGAAGTTACACAAGCGTATCAATTTGTAACTAAAAAAGTAATTTTCACCGGAACTGTCCTTGACCCTTCCGGAACACGGTCACCTTAGATACTCCCGGTTTTAAGGTAGGGTTCGTGTTGATCAGTCTTATGTATTTTAAGTAGTGTTCGAGTACTTGATTTATTTTCGTATTTTTTCGATGTTTATTGAGTAGTATTTTGTGTACCTACATTTTTGTGTAATAATTATTTATGTATTCGTAGTTTATCGTTGTTTACTAAGTAGTGTTTTATGTAACTGATTGTGTTCTCGTAGTTTATTGTTGTTTACTAAGTAGTGTTTTATGTAACTGATTGTGTTCTCTTAGTTTATCATTATTTACTTAGTAGTGTTTTATGTAACTGATTGTGTTCTCGTAGTTTATCGTTATTTACTTAGTAGTGTTTTATGTAACTGATTGTGTTCTCGTAGTTTATCGTTATTTACTTAGTAGTGTTTTATGTAACTGATTGTGTTCTCTTAGTTTATCATTGTTTACTAAGTAATGTTTTATGTAACTGATTGTGTTCTCGTAGTTTATCATTGTTTACTAAGTAATGTTTTATGTAACTGATTGTGTTCTCGTAGTTTATCATTATTTACTAAGTAGTGTTTTATGTAACTGATTGTGTTCTCGTAGTTTATCATTATTTACTAAGTAGTGTTTTATGTAACTGATTGTGTTCTCGTAGTTTATCATTATTTACTAGCTAGTGTTTTATGTAACTGATTGTGTTCTCGTAGTTTATCATTATTTACTTAGTAGTGTTTTATGTAACTGATTGTGTTCCCGTAGTTTATCATTATTTACTTAGTAGTGTTTTATGTAACTGATTGTGTTCTCGTAGTTTATCATTATTTACTTAGTAGTGTTTTATGTAACTGATTGTGTTCTCGTAGTTTATCATTATTTACTTAGTAGTGTTTTATGTAACTGATTGTATTCTCGTAGTTTATTGTTGTTTACTAAGTAGTGTTTTATGTAACTGATTGTGTTCTCGTAGTTTATCATTATTTACTTAGTAGTGTTTTATGTAACTGATTGTGTTCCCGTAGTTTATCATTATTTACTTAGTAGTGTTTTATGTAACTGATTGTGTTCTCGTAGTTTATCATTATTTACTAAGTAGTGTTTTATGTAACTGATTGTGTTCTCGTAGTTTATCGTTGTTTACTATGCAATGTTTTGTGTACTTATAAAAAAAGAAGATGTGGTATGATTGCCAATGAGACAACTCTCCACAAGAGACCAAATGACACAGAAATTAACAGCTATAGGTCACCGTACGGCCTTCAACAATGAGCAAAGCTCATACCGCATAGTCAGCTATAAAAGGCCCCGAAATGACAAATGATTGTTTTTATTTTAGTCTATAGTTGTTTACAATAGAGTTGTCTGTATCTCATTAACTTAGTTTATCATTGTTTACTAAGTAATGTTTTATGTAACTGATTGTGTTCTCGTAGTTTATCATTATTTACTAAGTAGTGTTTTATGTAACTGATTGTGTTCTCGTAGTTTATCATTATTTACTAAGTAGTGTTTTATGTAACTGATTGTGTTCTCGTAGTTTATCATTATTTACTAGCTAGTGTTTTATGTAACTGATTGTGTTCTCGTAGTTTATCATTATTTACTTAGTAGTGTTTTATGTAACTGATTGTGTTCCCGTAGTTTATCATTATTTACTTAGTAGTGTTTTATGTAACTGATTGTGTTCTCGTAGTTTATCATTATTTACTTAGTAGTGTTTTATGTAACTGATTGTGTTCTCGTAGTTTATCATTATTTACTTAGTAGTGTTTTATGTAACTGATTGTATTCTCGTAGTTTATTGTTGTTTACTAAGTAGTGTTTTATGTAACTGATTGTGTTCTCGTAGTTTATCATTATTTACTTAGTAGTGTTTTATGTAACTGATTGTGTTCCCGTAGTTTATCATTATTTACTTAGTAGTGTTTTATGTAACTGATTGTGTTCTCGTAGTTTATCATTATTTACTAAGTAGTGTTTTATGTAACTGATTGTGTTCTCGTAGTTTATCGTTGTTTACTATGCAATGTTTTGTGTACTTATAAAAAAAGAAGATGTGGTATGATTGCCAATGAGACAACTCTCCACAAGAGACCAAATGACACAGAAATTAACAGCTATAGGTCACCGTACGGCCTTCAACAATGAGCAAAGCTCATACCGCATAGTCAGCTATAAAAGGCCCCGAAATGACAAATGATTGTTTTTATTTTAGTCTATAGTTGTTTACAATAGAGTTGTCTGTATCTCATTAACTTAGTTTATCATTGTTTACTAAGTAATGTTTTATGTAACTGATTGTGTTCTCGTAGTTTATCATTATTTACTAAGTAGTGTTTTATGTAACTGATTGTGTTCTCGTAGTTTATCATTATTTACTAAGTAGTGTTTTATGTAACTGATTGTGTTCTCGTAGTTTATCATTATTTACTAGCTAGTGTTTTATGTAACTGATTGTGTTCTCGTAGTTTATCATTATTTACTTAGTAGTGTTTTATGTAACTGATTGTGTTCCCGTAGTTTATCATTATTTACTTAGTAGTGTTTTATGTAACTGATTGTGTTCTCGTAGTTTATCATTATTTACTTAGTAGTGTTTTATGTAACTGATTGTGTTCTCGTAGTTTATCATTATTTACTTAGTAGTGTTTTATGTAACTGATTGTATTCTCGTAGTTTATTGTTGTTTACTAAGTAGTGTTTTATGTAACTGATTGTGTTCTCGTAGTTTATCATTATTTACTTAGTAGTGTTTTATGTAACTGATTGTGTTCCCGTAGTTTATCATTATTTACTTAGTAGTGTTTTATGTAACTGATTGTGTTCTCGTAGTTTATCATTATTTACTAAGTAGTGTTTTATGTAACTGATTGTGTTCTCGTAGTTTATCGTTGTTTACTATGCAATGTTTTGTGTACTTATAAAAAAAGAAGATGTGGTATGATTGCCAATGAGACAACTCTCCACAAGAGACCAAATGACACAGAAATTAACAGCTATAGGTCACCGTACGGCCTTCAACAATGAGCAAAGCTCATACCGCATAGTCAGCTATAAAAGGCCCCGAAATGACAAATGATTGTTTTTATTTTAGTCTATAGTTGTTTACAATAGAGTTGTCTGTATCTCATTAACTTATGAGTGTTTAATGTCCCTTTCGTATGTCTCTTTGGTATGTTCCTTTGTAAAAAAGTAAAATAACAAAATACCGAACTCCGAGGAAAATACAAAACGGAAAGTCCCTCTACAAATGGCAAAATCAAAAGCTCAAACACATCAAACGAATGGATAACAACTGTGATATTCCTGACTTGGTACAGGCATTTTCTCATGTAGAAAATGATGGATTACACCTGGTTTTTATAGCTAGCTAAACCCCTCACTTGTATGACAGTCGCATAAAATTGTAATGTTCTTTTGGTATGTTCCTTTGGTATGTCCTTTTGTTATGTCCCTTTTGTACGTTCCTTTGGTATGTTCCTCGGTTGTGTTCCTTTGGTATGTTCCTATATTCCCTTTGGTATGTTCCTTTGGTATGTCCGATTTGTATGTTACTTTGGTGCGTTCCTTTGATACGTTCCTTCGGTATGTCCCTTTGGTATGTTCCATCGGTATGTACCTTTCGTATGTTCCTTTGGTGTGTTCCTTTTGTATATTCCTCTGGTATGTTCCTTTGGTACGTTCCTTTTGTATATTCCTCTGGTATGTCCCTTTGGTACGTTTCTTTTGTATATTCCTCTAGTATGTTCCTTTGGTACGTTCCTTTTGTATATTCCTCTGGTATGTTCCTTTGGTACGTTCCTTTTGTATATTCCTCTGGTATGTTCCTTTGGTATTTTACATTAGTATGTTCCGCCACTTTTATTTTATTAGTATGTATGGTATCATAAAGTATGTCAGAATCCATATCTAAATGTTGATTATTGTACATACATATTTGTGCTCAATGATGATGTTCTTAATGTTTTTTTAGACTATAATTTAATTTACTAAAAGAATACTTAAATTTATTTACTACACGCATTACTATCTGAGTATATATAGTAATTTCTACTGTCAAAAAGACTATTTGTCAGATTGGCAATCAACATACTACATCTTCTTATCTATACATTAACCATGTTAACAAGGGGTCTCGTTGGCTGAGATACACTATTTCAATGGCTTGTCAAAACTAAAGTTATGAGTTCGGATATCAAACAAACCTCATTTCGTCTTTATTGTTTAGATGCACTTAACTGACTGTGGATAATTGTAGCGATTTCAAAAGCAGTAAACTCAACTTTTCCTACAAACATAATACGGATATGTGTTAGAAACTCACATTAACATTTATGAATACACCTTAATATTATAGCTCTTTTGAATGTCTATTTTTGGAAATGAGATAACATTTCTTTTCAAATTGAACATGCTATCTTTTTGATACAAATGTTTTGGTTTTGGTTGTTTGTTTTGTATTGTTTTTTTTGCATACAGGACACGTGCTCGCGAAGAAAATAAAATGAAATGTAACCAGATTTAATTAGTGTGTCAACATCATTATATATCTAATTTGGAAACTAGTCTCTTTCCCTTTACAAAGTTACATACCATATTTGTACACATATAATCGGATTGCTTCCCTTACATCTCTTGGTTTATAACATTGCATCTTTAACAATGCTTGTCCTGCCGTTGTAAAGATCAAATCATCGGTATAAATTGGTTTTGGTGAACCTGTAATGTTAATATAAGAACTATAACCACTAGTAATCGTTATATAAATTGATATCTGGTTATACATGGGAACATTTTGTTTCAGGAATATGCATGTGTTAGGACTCAATCGATATTTTGTGTCTGTTAGGGTTTGTATGTGCTTTGTATCTATCTGATGAATTGATTTTTATAGTTTGTCCTCATGTTGTATTGTTTAGCCACTGTCCCAGGTTAGGGGAGTGTTTGGCGCCACCGTCCCGTCAATTATTGTATGTGTCTGTCCCAAGTCAGAGCCTGTGATAAAGTGGTTGTCGTTTATTGCTGTATGTTAAAATGTTTTTCTTTTATTGTTTTTGTATATAAATCAGGCCATTAGTTTTCTCGTTTGACTTGTTTTACATTTGTCATTTTGGGGATTTTTGTAGCTTCCTATGCGGTATGAGTTTTGTATATTTTTTAAGACTGTACGGTTTCATATAGTTGTTAACGTCTATGTCATTTTGTCTCTGGTGGAGAGTTGTCTCATTGGCAACCATACATCATATTATATATATATATATTTGTAGTATTAATTATCTGAAATTAAGATACGTACAGTTTCATCAATTTGCATGTATAATTGACTTAAAGTATTGACGATCTGAATGAACTAAGATACCTATAGTTTTAGCAATTCAATAACGGACAGAAGATTAACTCGACCACTGGGGTTGCTACAGCTTTTTACAATGTCTAGCGTAAAATACAGCTCAAGTGCATTTGTTGTATTTGTAGTGATCTCTAATTGCTAACATTTAATGCTGGCTTTCGATAGACATGTGTTCCGTTTTGGCATCCCTTCTTAAAACAGAAACTGGTTCTTATTTATTCTTAAACCAAACTGGTTTCCTAAACTTATCAAACCTCATTGATTGGTTTGAACAGTTGTACAAACCAATATCATATAGTTTTTGACTTGTTTTAAAACTGGGTTAAAACCGATTTGCCACCACAAACAATTGAGAACCGGAACCCTAAACTGAAACTAGATCTAATTTAATACATTCGTTATCATAAGTGTTGTTATATAGATTCTACCACTGCATCAAGTGTGAAACGATATTTATCTACTCGAGACAGTTAAATTTTCAAATTGAAACGCGAGGCTCACCGAGCGATTTAAATATTTAAAATTTAACTGTTTCTCTAATGATTTTTAGCAAAAAGATGTGTTCCTTCTATGTGACGTCATCAGGCATGGTCGCCTTTTTTTCATGACATCACAATAGGAATTTCAGAGGAAAACAAGAAAATTTGACGTCATAATCGAATTTTGACCAATGACGAACTGAGATCGAACGAACCACACGTTGATTAAAAAAAATAATTATAACCAACAGGTCAGGAAAAGGATAAATCGAGTAAGAATTAGAGAAATGAATGTATTGCAATACGAGATTGTATACCATAGTTGTTTGATGAAAACTGATGAGAATAAATTCCAAATTAAAGTCTGTATTTTTTAACTTAGTATAACTATCAAACCATACGCTTGATCAAACTATCTACAATGTATGATGCTAGTTTGTATTGATGAAGTTTCACTCTCTTATCCTCTTTTACATTTATACAATCATATGCGCATTCTTCAAGAATATATAACCTTAAATTGAAAATATTTTTTATTCAATATAACTTACTAGGAGGACTGTCTGTTTCAATATCCTTCCCGGTTTCCGAATCTTTAGACTGTAAAACAATTTTGAAATCTCACAGTTAAATCAACTAAGACCTTTATTTGTTTTTATGTGCATTGCTTTTAACGTTGGAGAGAACGTGCAGTCTCAGATGTAAAGAACTTCAAATTATTGGAAATAAAACATGTTTTTGAAATGCCTCCGCCAATCGAAATTAAAGAATCGTATGAACCGTCTACGAAAGGCAATTATTAGATATTGTTTTAGCAGGTATAAGGGAGATGATCCTGTTAGAACCATGTTCCATTGTCCATCATAGGTGTACAAATCAAATCAATTCAAACCAAATCAAATTTTATTTTCTCTTATATCATATTATTCAAGTAAACTTTATAACAGTTATCGAATATCTGTTTGACAGATGACGACGGATATATTTGTAACTACAATCCCATCCTCTTTTCGTCAAATGTGATCCAACGGATTAGACTATCGCCGGTGTGTTACTTGCATGAGCAATACGATGGATGCCACATTTTAAGCTGGATCTGCTTACCCTTCCGGAGCACCTGAGATCAGCCTTCGTTTTTGTCCTTTAAAATTGTTGCAGATATTTATGTGACATGACTGTCATACAATTGGAATTGACTGGATATTATTTAAATAAAAACAAATGCTGTTAAAACACTTGTGAATCATTAGAAAATAAGAAATACATCTTCTCCATGCATTGATCCGGTTATACATTAAGTCCTTGGCTATTATATAACGATGAAACACACTTTTCAATTTGAAGAACTGGTCGTAATCTTTGAAACAAGAAAACTGATACAAGAGACTCTGATAGGTATAATAGTTAACCTTTCCTTGTGGAATTATTTTAATTTTATTTTATCTGGCAAAAATTTTTCATTTTTCATAAATGTTTAAACCAAAATCGTTCAAAGCTCGTTCAACTATTCCAAAGCTCTACTTTTTTTAAGTTATTCAAAATTTTTTTTTTTCTTTGTTTACCAAACGTTTTATAGGTCTTTATGGACTGTTCCTAAATCAATGTTTGAATCCACTTTGAAGTCAGTTCCGGTATGTATAGACTACGCCTTTTTGTTAACAATACACTTACGTAAAGAGCACTACCAATGAAGTCTTTGCCTTTCATATTGATGACAAACGGACAATTTTTGCCGTGCCGAGCATGTTCTACCCATGGATCATCTGATGGATCCCAGTTCCGGAGCTTAAGTCCGCAGTAAAAGCACTGGACAATATCAGATGTACCTGAAACGGTAACAAATATATGAAAGAAGACGTATCAATCTTCTTCATTTCTTTAAGTATAGCTGACAATATATAGTCTAGTCAATATGGTGTAATTTTTTCAACGTGATGTAATAATTTTGGCTTCGACGCAATTTCTGAATACATGTTATTTTGGATAAACAAAACAGATTTGTTCACATAGCAAATCAAAATAAAATTCACTTTCCTACTATTTTCACGAATTTTCTTTATCCAGGATTGATAAAATTTACACATTAATGAGTTACAATAAATATAAATGCATTTTGATAATAACTATTGCAAAGGTTTCAGAATCTTTCTTAAGAACAACCAAAATTATAAGTTTGTTCTTATTTTGGTAAATAGATGCATTCTTTGAAAAAAAATATATGTTCAGTATATACATGTGTGTATAATGTTTTTCCTTGCTATCTCTTTGTTGATAAAATATAAATGTTGATTAATCAAAAAACATAAATGCTTTGAATCAATGATCTATGTCTTGACATTTGCATAGGCATGTTAAATCAATAGCAAACTTGTACAGCATTTGAAACCAAAAAAATAAAAATATCTGAAATTTTTTCCAAATTTGAATAAGGCTATCTATGGATTGAAGTTCAGAACCTTAACTGTTTCGAATGAACAAAATTTTTCTTTAACTGTAAATTTTCAGAAAATTACCGATTAAGGCAATAGTGACGGTTAGACAAGCAAATGCATTATTTCAGAAATGTCTAATCATACTATTATTAAATATGAGGGAAGTACAAAGCCCACAAATAAAAAATTGTGTTGGTTTAATTTCAAATCCGTGATGTAAATTTGAAGTAGAAAATAAACAACAGGTTGTACGGGGACAAACAGTTACACCCTGCAACGGTTGTGGCTTCTTGTATTTTTTGGGGATCAAATGTTAACATGTTAAAATGAGCCGCAATGAAATGTTCTATTGGCTTATCTTCTGTTCTGAAATCATAGACAAGAATAGTATTTGGCATTAGACAAGATCCTGTATTCTTATCTTTGTCATGCAGTGTCTTTTCAATTCTGAATTTCTGTAAGGACTTACAGCGATCGATATTGGAAAAGACATAAAGAGGTGTACCACATGACCAAGGTACTACGCTTAGTGGTGTGCTTCCAACAATTGCGAGCAGTCTTTATTTGTTTTGCCCTCCAAGTCACAAATTTGATAGCACCAATAAATAAAAGGATCTAGGTTAATACACAGTCTTTACCATCTTCGACAAACTTTGTAATGAGCAGACTTGCTGCGGGAGTATTAACCTTAAGAATTTAAAATTGATATTGCTGCCTTTCTTTACCATGCACCGTTTAGGAACACTCATTTTTGGATGGATAACAAGATTTCATCATCTTTTGAGCTAGTAAGTTAAAAGTCAAGCCCATCATGTCTTTCTAGAAATAATCAGGATGCATTGGTATCTCATGAGTATGCTATTTGTTCTAACTATGCATAAATCTAACACCATTAATTCACCAATCAGTTTTTAATTTATTGTCATAAAGTTTAACACATTTCACACAAGTTCATGTAGAAATGACAGAAAAGAAGATAAAGATTTATAAACAAAAAACTGTGGTCTAAATAAACCTTGATTGACAAAACCCTAAAGTATAACATGTTTAATATATTAAGTAAGCGATTAATTTTAAAGGGGAAACTTCCTGATCGATAATTTCTTGATAATATGAATACTTATTTCAGTGGTATTAACAAACTTTTTTTTTAAATACCAAGACATGGCGTACTTCCTTGTGTATTGTGAAATGTCAAAGACAAAAAGATCAGTTAGGAATTCAGTTTTCAACACTACGTCTGCATTTGTGTCTTTCAAACAGAGTCAAGTTAACTGCACCTGGGGCGTATGACACTAAATATAAACATTAGAGACTCGACACCAAAATATTTGAAAAAATCCAAAAGTTGAATAATTGAGTATTTCATAAAATTCGATATTGCAACGATACGATATCTTTATTTTACTAGCTCAGGCACCCTGAGGTGCAACAGGAGCAATAATATACATAATGCATATGTCATAGAGTGAAACTTGCACATTTATTTCTTATCTCAGATCGGTATTTAATTGCCCACATTAATTTACTATGGTCAAGCGTGTTAAGTATTTGTAGATTTATTGTTTTCATGAACTTTAGCAGACTGTCTGATTGACCGTTAAATTTAATGTATGATGCAGCTGTGTTTTAACTGTAATCATTTCTAATTAGTAGCCGTATAATTTATGGTTCTGTTTGTTTATATTCTGTCCCTATACTTGTGTGATCTTGAGGCGAAAGACGATTTAATGTGTGAGAAAGTCATGAAAGTAGGAAAGGCCTTTTCGATGATAAAAAGTAGGTGAATGTTGAGATGCGAGAGAGTTTAAGATAGTTAGTGTTAGAGAATGGATGTGTCTCTATATTGAACAATGTAATTAAATGAAAGTGTATATATATGAACTTGTACATAATAAATATGTATATATGAAAATTAGTTTTTAAAGCCAGTGCCTTAGAATAGCTCCGTGACATTATGGTGGCCAGCGCAAGATTTATTTTGGATTTTAATTAAACATTTTGGACTTTAACTTTCAACTCTGCAATATGCCACCCAAAGGACGATCAAGAAGAAATAGATCGGAAGATGATGAAATTGAAATAAGGACAAACTTAAGTACATTTAAACCATCACCTACTAAAGACATTGTGAAACCAACTATATTTTATGGAAATCTGGACGAAGATATTGACAGTTGGCTGAAAAATTTTGATAGAATTGCAACTGCAAATGAATGGAGCCGTGAAAGAAAATCAAATACGCTTCCTGCATTTTTGAGAGACCGTGCAGCGGAATTCTACGAATCTCTAGAGGACGACAAAAAGGAAGATATAGCAACATTATGTGAATCTCTAAGGAAAAGATTTATGCCCAAGGAATTACAATCATTGTATTACAGTAACCTTTTTCAGGCAAGACAACGTGAAGGACAAAATGTTGAAGATTTCGCATCAGAAATTAATAAACTTGCAACACGTGCATATTCCGATATGAAAAGAGACCAGAAAGACGTTCTAATTAAAGAGCATTTTATTCAAGGACTCAAGCAGGATATTAAACGATTCGTCATGTTATCGAACCCTACAACATTTGAAGAAGCGTTCAGGTCAGCGAAAAGAGAGGAATGCAACAATACTTTGACAAATCGGGACAGACAAACAGTTGCAGCATGCGCAATAAGTACTAACAATTTGGAGGACAACATTAAAGATCTTTCTGAACAAATGAAAGTGTTGGCAATGCAGATGAACAATATACCCACGAGAGGAAGAGGTGGTTTTGGAAATCGTGGGAATAGATTTCAACAATCGAGAGGACAAGGAAGAGGACGAGGATATGGTAGTAACAGAAATTTACGTGCATCAGACGGTAGGCCGATTTGCAATTACTGTATGAAAGTTGGACACGTAGAGAGAAGTTGTGATGAGAAGAATTCTACTTATGCGTCGGGAAACTAAGAGCTGCTTCCTTAATAGGAGGGAAGGCAGCAGGAAAGGAAATGAATCCTCCTAATGTATGTGGAAATAGGAATTTCGGAAATTCGTCTGTCGCGACGTCTGTTCTGAATGATGTAGATATTAGTTCTGAAAAATCTTGTCTCGCCAAGGTTAGTTCAGATGTTTTAAAGGAAAATGAAATGAATCCTCCTGAAGTACGTGGAAATAGAAATTTCGGAAATTCGTCTGTCGCGACGTCTGTTCTGAATGATGTGGTTATTTCCGATGTTGTAAAGGAAAATGTTATTTCCTGTGAATTAAATCCAAAGTTTTGTGTCGCCAAAATTAGAGGATTAGTCAATGAGAAAAGTGTTTTAATGTTAGTTGATACGGGATCAACAGTTAGTATTGTAAATGATTGCTTTGTTAATAGGAGGGATGTATCTGAAGTAAATAATGTATGTATCACTTCGGCATCAGGTGATAAAATTGAAATAATTGGAAAAGCAAATGTGGAATTCAAGTTTGGAAAAAAGTGTGATTTTGTGTATAATGTTTATGTAGCTAGTAATTTTTCTTATCAGTGTATTATAGGATTAGATATTCTGTGTGATTTTTCATGCAATGTAGATTTAGGAAATAATTGTATTGTGATTAATAATGAGGAATCTATTAATTTTGAATGTTTAGAAGATATGCAGTTATCCGATAGCGATAATTTACAGTATGATTCTATGAATGGAATAGATATAGTAGAAAGTATTGATGAAAATACAAATACATTCAATATAGATGAAGGATTAGAGAAAAGTGAACTAGAGAAATTAGAAGTTCTTTTGCAAAAGTACAAGTCTATATTCGCATTTTCTGATAATCAGCTTGGAAATACTACATTGATGGAACATTCGATTGATATTGGTGAAAGCAAACCAATCTATCAACGTCCGTTTAGAATCCCATTCAGTGAAAGGAATGTGATAGATAATAAAATTAAAGTTTTATGTGATCAAGGGATTATTCGGAAGTCTAAAAGTCCGTTCTCTGCTCCGATCGTTTTGGTCCCCAAACGTGATGGATCGATAAGACTGTGCATCGATTATCGTCGGATTAATGAAATTACAAAAAAAGGACGTATATCCGATTCCAAGAATTGACGAAATGCTAGATGCTCTAAACAAATCGAAATACTATACCGTTCTAGATATGTGCCAAGGATATCATCAGGTACCTGTTAAGGAATCCGATAAAGAGAAAACAGCCTTTTCATATTTCGGTGGTCACTTTGAATTTAACTTTATGCCGTTTGGATTATGTAATAGTGCTCCAACGTTTCAACGACTTATGGATACACTACTTTCTGGATTATTGTGGAATTCTTGTCTTGTATATATTGATGATGTTATAATCTTCTCTGAAACCTTTGATGAACACATGAATAGACTAGAAAGTGTCTTTACAAGATTTCAAGAATCAGGATTAAAACTCAAGGCTAAAAAGTGCTTCTTTGCGAAACGGGAAGTCACTTTCTTAGGACATTGTGTAAATGAACATGGTATTTCACCTGATAAAGAAAAAGTTAGTGCAATCAAAAACTTTCCGAAGCCAAACAATGTCAGTGAACTCAGAAGTTTTGTAGGATTGATATCATATTATAGGAAATTTATTCCAGACTTTGCTAGTAAAGCAGACAGTTTTCATAAGCTTTTACGAAAAGGGACCAAATTCATTTGGGACGAAAATTGTGTAAGAACCTTTGACATGTTTAAGCAGGCCTTGACACAATATCCCATACTACACTATCCGGATTTTAATTTGCCTTTCCTATTGATGACAGATGCTTGTGATACAGGCCTTGGAATAGTCTTGGCTCAACAGGGACCAGAAGGTGAAAGGGCGATCGCGTATGCAAGTAGAACACTAAAACCGAACGAACGTAATTATGCTGTGATAGAAAAAGAAGCTCTAGCTATCGTGTGGGGTGTGAAATATTTCAGACATTATCTCTATGGAAGAAAAGTAACAATTATTACTGATCATAATCCATTGAAATGGCTCATGAACATTAAAGACCCAGCTGGAAGGTTAGCACGTTGGTCATTGACCTTACAGGAATATGATCTTCAAATTGAACATAGAGCCGGTCGAAAGCATCAAAACGCAGATGCACTATCGCGAATTCCTCCTATTGCGCCATTAAAAGACCATAAAATTGAAGATGTTATTCCAAAACTTTCTATCGATAGACTTTGTGAAATGCAGAGAAAAGATTCAAATTTGTTTGCAATAATAAACTACTTGGAAAAAGGGGAACTGCCTGACCAGTCATCGAAAGCGCGAGAAACTGTGATTTTATCGGATAATTATGAATTAGACAATAGTGGTATTTTATATCATTTATTCACACCGGGATCCAGAAAACGACGACAATGTTTAAGAAGACAATTAGCAATACCGAGATGTTTAATTGATGAGATACTGTATGCGTGTCATGATGATGCCACAGCGGGACATCTATCTCTAAATAAAATGTACACTAAGATTCAAGATCGATTTTATTGGAAAGGAATGTATTCTGATGTCGAATTTTGGTGCAAATCTTGTGTTGACTGTGCGACTAAGAAGACTCCGAAACACCGACCTAAAGCGCCATTAAATCCATTACCTGCAGTATCAGGACCGTTCGACCGTGTTGCAGTTGATGTACTTGGACCTTTTCCACCAACGTATAACTCTAATAAATATATATTAATATTTAGTGATTATCTGACAAGATGGCCTGAGGCAATACCTGTGCCTAATGCCGATGCTACCACTACCGCAAAAGTCTTTATAGAAGAAGTTGTTTGTCGTCATGGGGCGCCAAGACAGCTACTTTCAGACAACGGGAAAAACTTTCGATCAAACCTTGTTAAAGAAATTTGTAAACTTATGAACACGAAGAAAACATTTACAACAGCATACCATCCTGAGACTGATGGCTTAGTGGAACGTTTTAACGGAACATTAACTGCCATGTTATCCATGTATGTTAGTGGACACCAGCGTGATTGGGATACCTTTATTCCTTTTGTTTTGTTCGCTTACAGAACTTCGTTGCACGAAAGTATACAAGAGACTCCGTTTTTCTTAATGCATGGCCGTGATCCAGTACTACCAGTAGAAGCAGCGATGTGTCCGCCTACTATAACGTATACCTCGAGTGCTGATTACAAATCAGAAATGGTGACCAGACTACAAGAGGCATTTACACTAGCCAAAGACAATTTGCAAGCAGCGCAGCGGAAGCAGAAAGAACAATATGACTTGAAGTCTGATGTAATAAACTATGCTATCGGTGATAAGATATGGGTTTTTAATCCAAGTACAAAACCAGGACTATCAACAAAACTGTTACACAATTGGCATGGACCATATGTGATAATTGGCAAACTTTCAGATGTGAACTATAAGATTCAAATGTGTGATTCGAAAAAGTCTGAACAAACTGTACACGTTAATCGCATCAAACAATTTGTTGATCCAGATGATAGGCCCATTATAGACGGAGAGGACATTGTTCCGAACATTAATCCAATTGAAAATAGTGACAATACAATGGTGAAAATTTTAGATACAATGCGATCACGAAATGAGTCTAAGAGATTAGAAAAACATTATTTTGTACAATATGAGAATGGTGAGACCCAGTGGGTAAAAGAGGATGCTATTAAAGATTTTGCCATTATAAATGACTTTCATATTTCAAATGAGAACAATGATTAGACTTTGAATTTGTTTAAATGTGTTATAAAAGAAAATTAAAAGAACGAAATTTATTAAAAAGAAAAAAAAAATATTGTGTATGTATATATATATCATGTATGAGTAAGCGTGTGTTTGTGTGTCGGGACGTCACAGTTAATTGGGGAGGTATGTCATAGAGTGAAACTTGCACATTTATTTCTTATCTCAGATCGGTATTTAATTGCCCACATTAATTTACTATGGTCAAGCGTGTTAAGTATTTGTAGATTTATTGTTTTCATGAACTTTAGCAGACTGTCTGATTGACCGTTAAATTTAATGTATGATGCAGCTGTGTTTTAACTGTAATCATTTCTAATTAGTAGCCGTATAATTTATGGTTCTGTTTGTTTATATTCTGTCCCTATACTTGTGTGATCTTGAGGCGAAAGACGATTTAATGTGTGAGAAAGTCATGAAAGTAGGAAAGGCCTTTTCGATGATAAAAAGTAGGTGAATGTTGAGATGCGAGAGAGTTTAAGATAGTTAGTGTTAGAGAATGGATGTGTCTCTATATTGAACAATGTAATTAAATGAAAGTGTATATATATGAACTTGTACATAATAAATATGTATATATGAAAATTAGTTTTTAAAGCCAGTGCCTTAGAATAGCTCCGTGACACATATACATTATTTAGCAAAAAGAACAAAAGAAATGATGAAAACACAAACATTCAATGAGAATGACATCAACTAACTAGCTAAATATTTTATCTATTTCAAAAATTGCATCTTATTGACTTAGAAAATGGCATAACCTATAAATTATTGCAGTGATACAATTCATCATTTTGTATGGACCTTCTCAGTTCTGCAATTTGACCTTTGCTGATTTTGCTCATTATGGAGTATACTTTTGGCTATGGCAAATTTTGACGGAGGTTAATTAATTATTTTATTGTAAAGGCAGCATATTTAGTATATGAAGCTTGTGATATATTCCTTCTCGGTGATTATTATCATAATGGCTGGATAATCTGACATTAGCTCATATTTACATGTCATTGCTGTCCCATTTACGTATACCCCGAATTTCCATTCATTGATGTATAATTATTTACTTACCAGTATAATAAAATCCTGCTCTCACAGCATCTGCAACATTTGCACAGAAAGTACAAGATTGAAAAGATTTCAGTCTTGTGTTCTGGTCTGCAAATGATTTATATCTTGGCTGCTGTAAACAAATTCCTAATGAGTCAGCTGTCGATGGAGATTTATTTTGTCCGTTTTGATATTTAAGGTTTTGCATTGCTATTCAGACGTCTTTTCCATTTGTAGATATATAAATAGTAACTTATTCGTTGGACTAGGAAGTCAGATACAGTATATAATTACCTTACTGGGAAAACCAAAGTACATATTTATTGATTTTGGCAAGACGATATAGTTTATTTTACATTGTATATTTATATACATATTATTGTTTGGCTCGGTTTCAGTGTAAAAATATGACAATTCTTTTTTTTTTCCAGCGTTATTCATATTCCAAAAAAAGACAATGGATAGGGGATATCAGATAGCATCTTCTTTCCAGATGTATTTATAGATATCAAAATATGTTCATGACCTATTAAACACTAGATTATGTCATGAAAACAAGATATCTCACCTGCGTAAATCGATTCTATAGTTGTTGTTACAATAAGTATAAAGCAGATTAACTTTCAATACCCTAAGTGAAAGTGCTATTGCAAACTAATTTATTTTGTCAAAATTTTGAAAATTTCATGTCATTTTTAATCTTTTATGATATCAAGTCGACAATGAGCGATTGCGAAATTATGTATCAAGTCTAACTTTCGAAGATTTTGTTAAATAGAACGAAGAAATTATTTTCATCACGCACATTTTATGAATATTCCCTTGAATTTGTGTGGGTTTTGCTCAGTTTTTACTTTTCTATGTGGCGTTTTGTAGACGGTTGTTTGTCGTTTCGTCGTTTATTTTTTGGCCTAAATGTTGACGGGTTTTCTTTGACTTATGAAACGGCAGTTTATAAGAAACTAAGTTCTGATAACTGTTAACTGTCATTCTTGTTTTGTTCAGTCATACCACATGTATAAATTTATACCTTTTCAGTATCCATTTTCACGATTGAAAAACGCGAAATTAAAGTTATATCCAATCTTATTACTCGTTTTTCACATTTTATAAACACATAGGGTATAGATTTACATTTAAACGTATAAAACTAACATTGTCATGGTGTAAAAATAAATCATTGATATCATTAGGACATATTTTATATCTTTACTTAAAATTTGTGATTGAAAATGTATGGACATTCTACTTTACTGATGTAAAAAGAATGTAAACGAGGAATGTTTCAAAGAGACAACAACCCGAACAAAGAGCAGAAAACAGCCCATGGCCACCAATGGGTCTGCAACACAGCGAGAAAATCCCGTACCCGGAGGCAGGCTTCAGCTGGCCCCTTAACAAAAATGTCTACTAGTTCAGCAAAAATGGACGTCACACTAAACTCCGAAACATATAAATGAACCAAAATTAAAAAACACACAAGACTAACAAAGGCAAGAGGTTCCTGACTTGGGACAGGCGCAAAAATTCGGCGGGTTTAAACATGTTTTGTGAGATCTCAACCCTCCCCTATACCTCTAGCCAATGTAGAATAAACAAACACAGAAATACGCACAGTAAAACTCAGTTTAAAAGAAGTCGAGCCGAGCAACACTAAAGGGACATTTATTGTCGACATGCGCATCTGGTGCAGTAAAAAAGTCACTGTTAATGCGATGGTAAAATAAAAACAGAGCAACGCAAAGCCCCGCCTAACTTAATTTTGGATTTTATTTAAATTTTGCGGTTGACTGAGTATGAAAATGTGATCGTATAAGCTGAGCTGTGCATGGCATACATATGAAGGCATATTGTTGTTTAATGATACTCCAAAATCTATTATCTATATATGATTTACAATAAACTTAAATAAGAGTAGAATAAATTATCCTAGTTATATTTATAAATCTTTTTCAAACCAAACACTATTATGATCTGCAAATCGAAAGCAGAATGATGAAGAAAAGTGAACAGTACTACTAAACACGATATTGTTTTATTATTTTTGAGAATATAATGTAGTCAACTAAACAGAATTTCAAGTAGTTCACTTAATACCCATCATTATTCATTAATAAAATAAGAAGATCCCTAGGTGAATAAGTACACAATTGATCATAATTTTTCAATATTTCTTTATTATATCACATGAATGAGTCTCATCAATTGAACATAATGCAGAATCAATCTGTTGAAATCTGAAATTCATTTGATAACAAATCTAAACATAATGCAGAATCAATCTGTTGAAATCTGAATTTCGTTTGATAAAAAAAGATCCGAAGATAGAAATGTTAATTTTGTCTCCCTCAATAACATTTACAATGTTGGATAATGTAACAGGTCCCTGAAATTTGACAGCTGATTCGAACGGCTGACAAGATTGCCCTGACTTGTTTCTTAAACCATTAACACAGAAAACTGTTCGAATTCTTTTGTGTTTCTTTGATATCATTGTAAGAGTCAAATCAAATCGGAGATTTCCATTCATTGGACAAGTTATTTCATGGCCGTTCTTATTTAGTACAAAATGTGTTATCATTTTATTATTCTTTTTCCAAGGAATAACTGTTCCATTGGTCTGTTTGAACCATTTACCCTTGAACTTTGGGTTAAAAACAGCTACTGGTATTCCAACAGGTACGCCGCTGATACGTAAATAATTCATTGTAGTTAACAATAGTAAACTGTACATGTATAACATCCTGTTAATAAAAATAAAGAACAATATGTAAACAATGAAAATGTTGTATACACAAAATAACATAAATATGAATATAATTTCGGGGCCTTTTATAGCTGACTATGCGGTATGGGTTTTACTCATTGTTGAAGGCCGTACGGTGACCTATAGTTGTTAATTTCTGTGTCATTTGGTCTCTTGTGGAGAGTTGTCTCATTGGCAATCGTTCTTCTAGAATTTGTGGAAAGTTTGTTCAACGTGTGTTTAAAGTTTACTAAAGTCGCTTCACGAGTAATGCGTATATTATTGTAATATTTTAGTAATGATTAAAGCATTAATCTCATGCTTTTATAACGAATATCAATTATCAAAATTGAACTTAAAAAAGGTCAGAAGATAAAAATGGGACATCCAGAACTCATGAGTTGAGTAAAGACCGACAAAACATTGCACAGAATAAAGAAAAGACAGAACACTGGTTTCAACATTAACAAACAAACTAACGGCTAACATGTATAACGGTGGCATGTATTATTTTCATCTGTGTCCATTGGTTTCTAACCTAGTTCACAATTATACTACATCGGGATTATGTACCCTTTTGTTGTTTCAATGCTAAACGTATGGACATTTATAAATAAACCACAGCCTTTTCCCCAGTGTACTCTTATATTTGACATTTTTTAAAATAAAGATAATAGTTAAAACAAGTGAAATATGGAGGACCAACCCAAGTACACCTTCTATGGTGCACTCGACTTCAATAAGCATGAGGTTATTTTATTGTTAAGGTTGTTTAGGACTTTTTAAACAATAAACGCTTACACACCAATGAGAAACTAGTGAGTAACCCATGTTACAAATATTATAACGAATATCTCTGAAATTAAGTCTGTGGATTTTCTGTAATTTTTTTGGCACAAAATCCACTTTTTCTACAAAATGCAATTAGACAATAAACATTTCTGTTGACGAGGCTTCCCTTTGGTATATGTACAAAATGATATCATATCTCTTTTATTCTGTATCTTTGCTGTTTTGACATTATTATACTTTGAAAATTTGTAAATCAGAGTGCCACAAGATCATAAACCATTTATTTAGATTTTTTTTTGTGCTATCAGTGAAATTAAATACCAACAAAACAGTACACTTTTTGATTATATAGATCGTTTAAAATGCTTCGGTAAAGGCGGTTTATTTTACATTTAAAAGTAATATTAGCCTTTAAATCTTATTTGAGTGATTTATTAGTCTTAAATTGTTAACCTTTATGTATGAGATATACCTTGAGGGCCTAAGCTCGAATTGGTGTATCTAATTTACACCAAGATATTATTGTCAATGCAGAATGATAGTTTTCAAAAATTTAGGAGGGGGCTTCATTTAACGACATCTTGGTAAAAATAATTGAATTTGCAGTACACTTACATACACCTCTTCACACTAATACACAGGGTAAGCATATATCAAATGTGCAGAGTGTCTACTCTACTATTTATAGTCAAAGATCGTAAAGGCCTACAAAATTACACGTGTTAACATCGATTGAAATTGAAAGCAAAACTATATCAAATCATTTGTTCGACATCAGTACATATCAAATGAAAAATCATCCCATTGACTCAAGGTTTTAAATGTTTTTCTTTTAATTATCGGGTTTTTTTTTTAAACACGTGTAACTTTATTTTATTTATTTATTCCTGTCTGCTATATATAACTCTTTTTTAATTAAACACGATATGAACTTCATGTACATGTATTGGGTTTTAAACAGGCGTCAGCTCACATACACGCACAAACAATAGATACAAATGACAGAAGGAAAGAAAAGAAAACATAGTAAAAACCAAACTAGTGATGATTCAAGAAGTGTATATATAATATGTCTTCTCTCGTCAATATCTAAGTAAGAAGACACTATTACAAAACTATACAGTATGTTGGTTTAGTAAACGATATGGTTTTTAATTAACGTTAACGCCAAAACATACTTGTGTATAGTGACGCTACAGATTTCAAAAACGTTATATATGTATCACTGGTAAGTATCAATGATTTCTTTACAACAACTTACTTAAAATCGTTACTGCATTACTTCATAGACACAAAGCTTTGCTTTCAAAATTTGATAGTGCCTATAGATAACTTATAGCTAACGGGATGTAACATCCTGATGTTTATGGTGATGTAGTTTATACATCCCATGACTTTATATACAATCAATGTAAACGTATTGATCATTTGATAGTATCTGTAGATAACTTATAGCTAACGTGTGTCACGTCCTTATGTTTATGGTGATGTAGTTTATACATCCTGTGACTTTATATACAATCAATGTAAACGTATTGATCATTTGATAGTATCTGTAGATAACTTATAGCTAACGTGTGTCACGTCCTAATGTTTATGGTGATGTAGTTTATACATCCCGTGACTTTATATACAATTAATGTAAACGTATTGATCATTTGATAGTATCTGTAGATACTTTTTAGCTAACGGGATGTCACATCCTTATGTTTATGATGACGGCGTTTATACATACCGTGATTGTA